TATTGAATGTTGGTTAGGAAGTAGGCTGGTTATTTTGTGGATGAATGTGGTAAGATTAATTTGAAGTTTCTGTACGATCTGGAATGAAAGGGGGAAAAAAAAATAATTGACTTGTTTATAAATAAAAGTTTACTTAGTAGCCATTATAAGTGTCTTGTTTGTACGAAGGAAAATTGTAGGGTCGAATGTCGGAGGATATTTTTTACTCTTATTTTTGTGAATTTATGTGGCAACGCCAGTATAGAGATTATAGTTCAGATAACTTTAGGAAGATTTTAGATTAAGGAATTCTGTTTGACTGAAGACACAGAAATTTCTAAATAATGTAAGTGGATATTTCCTTTGGGTAGTGCTAAGATGAATTACCTTTTTTATGTTATTTCATTGTTTGATTTAAAATGTAGTTTATTGAGATTATATATTTTTTGTTTGCTTGAGTATAAAATTGGCTGCTCCTTTGACATTTTAAATGAAACTAGATCAATGTGTATATAGACAAAGTCAAGGGAGTGCAATTCTCTGATTTTTTTTTTAATTAAACATAGGTCGATGTGTACACGGATACTGAGTTTGTGCAATCCTTAGACTTGTTATTTTGGATTTGTGGAGCAGTGATTTTTAGTGCAAAAATCGCCACTACACAAAGCCAAAATACCAAGCTAATAAATTGCATTACCTCGGTGTCCATGTACTGCTAAAAACTGCTATTTTTCATGAAGGGGCACCTGTAAATATATTTTTAAACTTCACTTGCTTAAAGGCATCATGCACCCTAAAGTGCATGAAATGTAAGGGTTAAAAGCAATGGAAATAATAATAGAACCTCACATAGTAACTCTAATAGACTCTACATAGTAGCAAAAAAAAAAAAAAAAAGCCAAAAGTTATATCAGAAACACCAATGTTTAAATCTCGTGGCAAGTTAAAGAGGTAAGCTCTGTTTGCTTATATTACTCTTTGCCTCTTCCCCGGCAATAGCCGACACCAATGTTGCACAGAGTGTGCTCAAACTGAAGGTGTATACTACAGTCAAAAGTCGTTAATCGGACACCCATAATCCGGAATGATCTATAATCCGGACCTCAAAGCTACAAACTTTCTGCGCATGCGTCGGGTTGACGCATGCGCGTAACACCTTTACAGCTGCGAATATGCGTCTGCGCGTGCGCAAAATATGTTTACAAATGCGCGTTTAATGTATAACGGACAATATAAACTAAGCTAAAATTATCTAATTCAGTTAATGTTGCAGATTGCATTGTTCCTTAATCTTCGAATTGGATCCGGCTTATTATTTTTTGCAGACTGTTAGAGCAATTTTATAAAAGTAAGCTTGAACTTTCGATTATGTCAAATAGAATTTCTGATATATATTTACTAATATGTAAAGGATCTACAAAGCGAAAGTATGTTTCGAAGTCCATCAAACAAAAAGTGGAATGTCTGCAAAAAATGGATAAAGGCATATCCTTTGTTTATTTAACCATTCCGAAATCTGTTTATCAATTTCACGCTGCTCTGCATGTGTGTGGGGGGGGGGAACGTCGCAGCACGCAATGAACTGGAAGTTGATCTGTCAGCACTATCCTTATCTTCAGGGCAGATTTTTTTATTTTATTTGGCTTATAATTCCTTACTAAATGTAGTATTTTTTATACCCTTTAGATAATAATTGTTCTTTATTTCATAAATTACAGTTTCATATTTTTAATTTTATAATTTCTGCATGCCATCTTACCAGATTTAAACTGATGATCTATAATCCGGAATCACCGAAGTCCCGACGAGTACGGATTAACGACTTTTGACTGTATATTCTATTCAAAAGTAATGGACACAGGATACCATCTAGTGGTCTTTAAAACATGTTTCCTCTTAAAATGCATATATGCATCACTGTCCCTTGCGTTAATTGTCCAGTGATGCTTGGGTATGATACCTGTTTATAAGAGACATTTCTAGGGAATGCATACAAGACCCTTGTCCTGAAAGGGTTAAAATAATGGACTGTTACACATATAATTTAGGGTAAAGTGCAGAATCGCCTACTTATTTGTTTGACGCTTTTTACAAGAGTAAGAGGAAATGGATTTTTGTTATTTTTCTTTGACAAAAAGTCAAAGGTAGGTAGTAAGTAAAAATAGGTCGATGTATACATGGATAAAATCAAGGGAGTGCACGATGCTTTTTTTGTGCAATTCTGGGATGTTTTTTTAAGTGAAAATAAGTCGATCTGTACATGGATACAGAATTTGTGCAATTCTTAAAAACGTGCCAAGCAGTGGGTGATTCTGAACTTTCCCCTAATTTATAACGTTGATTCCAAAATATTAGGATGGTTATACATTAAAAACTACACAAAGCATATGTTTTATACAACAACACACAGTAAAATATTTACATGCTTTTTTTAACCTGAAAAATTTCCAAATATTTTAGCTAATTTACAGTTCCCTTCTTTTCTAAGTTTGTTTGTCTCTCATAAATAAACCAGTGTTCCTATTAGTTTCTGCTTCATCTCTTAATTTGTTAATATTCTAACAAACTATCTTTGAAGAACAATTTTCCTTCTTTTTAAATAATCATTTCCTTTTTCCTTCTTCATTTTAGAATTTTCAGACATACTTAAAAATTGCTGTTATTCTAGAAAGTGGCATGTATTTATAATGTATCAAAGAGACTATTCTTTTTCAATAATTTGAGTATAAACATAAAATGATATGGTTAGGGCTGGCAGGAGAATTTTTAGAATTTAGTAAAGCAGCAAACAACAAAATTTTGGGATGATAAAACTTTAGGACAGGAATTCAGATTTTAGAGACAGCAAAAATTTAAGAATTTATGGTAAGATTGGAAAGATTAGAACCATTTTTGCAACTTTCCATACTTGTGTCTAATGAAAAGAAGAGAAAGTAACAGAGAACATAAACATTTTAAGAGACTGACCTTCAGAATCAAAAGTAGAAAATTCAAGTAATTTTGTTCTCAATGTTCTTTGAAAAATTCTCCAAAAAATAAGATATTCATCACAAATTTCTCACAAAATATGTCCATTAAATGATAATACTACCAAAAAGACCTCCATCATTTCTCCACACTTTTCAGGAATCATTATGCCTTTAAATAATGCGTTCTCAGGATGCAAGTTCTAAAATCAAAAAGACATCCCTACAAACTTTGTGCGAGCAAACACACACAAGGTTTTTGAATTTTGAAAAAACAAAAAGAAAAGTGTAAACTGAATTTTACAAAGAAAACTGATACTCATTTAAATATACAGAAATAATTAGACATGATATAGTTATCATGAAAAAAACTTAAAGCAAAGAAATGAAACTAATCTTAAATTTATTACAGTAACATTTTTGTTACATGCCTCAGTGCATGTAACCCATTTTCCATTTGCATTTCCATGTGCATGTTTCCATTTTGGGAACATTTTTCTTACTTTGCTCAGTGCTTCGGAAACTTCCATACTTTCCAAAGCTCCTAACAAAAAAGCTACCGATTATGGCATTTATTAATTTTTTTGGAGTATGTCCTTAATAGCATTTATTATTTTATTTTTCAGAGCCAAAATATTCTAGGATCCCCAAATGGAAAATAATGTCATCTAATAATATGATCGCAGAAAATAAAAATAAATTATTTTGGAAACACTTCTGCAAAGGATCCATTAAATGTAAACATTGCCAAAAATGGTGATAAAAGTTCAAAGCTGGTAACCCGGCAAATCGGTTTGTCGGAGGTAGCAACCTGGTTCTACAAGCACTTGCCTTAGACAAAGAATATTTCTTGTCTGTTCTGGGTTCCGTTTTGAGTGAAAATGCAGAATCACCCACTGCTTTGCACGTTTTTAAGAATTGCACATACTCAGTATCCATGTACACACTGACCTATTTTCACTTAAAAAAAATCCCAGAATTGCACAAAAATGGGAATGTGTACTCCATTGACTTTATCCATGTACACATCGATCTATTTTCACTAAAAAAGTCAAAGAAAATTGACAAAAATCCAATTCTTCTTGCCCTTGTAAAAAGCGCCAAACAAATAAGTGGGTGCTTCTGCACTTTAGCCACGTTTTCCTGCTGGCTAACGGTGCGTCACTACCGGATGAGGTGGTGAAAATCGGTTGGGGTGGATGATAATTGATAACACGGCTGTTTAGAATAGTATGGCTGTGTTCTTACTTAATTTTTAAAAGACTTTGAAAATGCAGAACCATAGGGCTCCTAAAATATTATGATTAATGTGGGCTGCAATAATATGTGTTTTAAATAATTAAGTTTTTATTTTTATTACTGTTATTTTTACCTAAAGTAATAAGAATTAAATCAGTTTTCGTGCTTAAAAATTTGATATACTGTTAATGCATTTTAAAAATTACTTTTCAGAGGATGCTAGGTGTTTATATACAATAGATGATTAGAATGAAATAAAAATTATTATTGGTTCTCTGAGATGACAAAATACTTTTATGTATACCCAGGGCCATCAAAGTTAGTAAACCACTGCTTTCAGTAATTAATCAAAGTTTGAATGAATCTTGAAAGATAACAAGAAGTATAATGTTTCTTATAGTTTTATTTATAATGCTACTTTAAAAGATTTGAATATTATCGAAGATTCTGGCTTGTCAAATTTATTATGAAAAAGGGAGTTGTTTCAAAATAAAATGTTTTAAGCTATCAGCAAGTAAATTCAAAAAACAACTTTGAAAAATTGCTTGTGTAAAATGAATGTTTTAAATGTATTATTTAGTAATGAATCCATTAATCTATTATATATACAGTAGCACTAATTATTAAACATAATTTTGAGAAGATCGACAAGCAAAGCACTAAATCAAAAAGACACTTTTTACTAAAAATATTAATATTCTGTATGAATGACAGGGAATATATGTAATGAATACCATGGCCAAATACCTATATAAAGAAAAAGAAAAAACAACAACAACAAAAAAAAAAAAAAAAGAAAAGAAAAGTATTCTCTACCTCAACACTTGAAAAAGTAATCCTGCAATGCAAAACATAGTTAACTTCTGATTACATGATATTGCAAGCACTTTCTTCAGATTTTTCCTACAACTGGTTAAGACCATTGAATACTGGTAGTTTGATCTGGTTTTACATCATGGTTAATGGGTTGATTTCTGTAGTTTTCCTCATATGTAAAGCAAATATAAGCCAGTTTCCCTTAGAAAGTTGTTCAAAAAGGCATCCTTCTTCAGGTCGATAGCCATTATTCTTTGCCATATTCGAATAACCTCAACTTTCCTTCTGATTCTACATTGACATGTTATACCTGTTGTAAGCAGGACAATGATCATTCAGCTTCTATCCATGTGGCAGGAGTATATTTAAAACATAACAAAATCGACCATGTTTTAATTTTGAAAACTTTATAAATTTTCCCGATTTTCTTACGTCATAGGTTTCACTAACAAGATATTCATAGTTTTGTTCAAGTTCACAAGAAGTTGAGCAATACAATTGCTGAATACTGGTAGTCTGACCCAAATATGAATCTTCAGTATTCAGTATCTTGCGCCATCATACTGTCATGCCCCCTAAAGTTATTGCTGCTTGGCATAATAACAATCTCACTTGACCATGTTATCCACTTTGTCAAAACTAATATATCAGCTGCAGTCTTTCCAAAGATTCTCACTATAACAGAGATTTAAAAAGATCTTTCTTAGAATACAAATAGGTTTGTCAAAGTCTAACAACAATTCATGAACTTTTCATGCAAAGTATTTACAACTCATTTCAGATACAACATTTTGAGAAGTGTCTTTTTCATACATCTGTCTTTTTCATACATGTGGCTGCATTTCAGAAGAAAATGATGTTGTCATGTTTAATTTCATCAGGCCTGATGCAAAGTCTAAAATACTGCAACTGCTGGTTTTTTGCACATCTGTTATAAGGAGAAATAATTTCAATGGGGTAGAGTAGACTTTAAGGTACCCCTTGTATTATGGCAAAATTGTTGTTTAATTTATCGCCAAGTTGTTGTTCATTTATGGTAGCCTGAGTAGTTGAATGTTATGGAAACCCTATTGTGACGTAATCGGCTGCATGATTCTGGGAAATTTTTAATCATGGGATGTTTTGTAAGCGTTTTTTTTGGTGTGTGTTGGTTTGATTCTTTAGACGGTAGAATGGTCGAATGTAGTAAGATTAATTTGAAGTTTCTGTATGATTTGGAGCAAAAGGGGAAAAGAGCTTTAATTGACTGGTGTGTAAATGAAGGTTTACTTAGTAGCCATTATAAGTGTCCTGTATGTAGGAAGGATATGCGTTTAGTCGAACATAAAAACCGTTTAGATGGATTTGAATGGGTTTGTAGGAAGAAAGGTTCAGATGGTCACTATGCGAAGCGTTCGATCAGAAAGAGTAACTGGTTTGAAAAAAGTCATTTGAGTATGATTAATATTTTGATTTTTACGTGGCTCTGGGTGTACGAAGCGAACTCGAAAATCATGGTAAGTGAATATTTGCTTTTGGTAGTGCTTAAATGTATAACATGTTTTTCCTTTTTTATGTTATTTTATTGTTTGGTTTAAAATGTATTTTATTTGAGATTATGCATTTTTTGTTTACCTATATTGTAGAATTTGGTGTTCCTTTGACTTTTTAAGTGAAAATATATTGATGTGTACATGGACAAAGTAAAGGGAGGTGCGCTATGCAAGTTTGTGCAATTATGGGATTTTTTTAAGTGAAAATAGGTCGACGTGTACATGGATAAAGTTAAAAGAGTGTGCAATGCCATTTCTGTGCAATTCGGAGATTTTTTTTTAAGTGAAAATAGGTCGACGTGTACATGGATAAAGTCAAAGGAGTGTGCAATGCCATTTTTGTGCAATTCGGGGATTTTTTGTAAAGTGAAAATAAGTCGATGTGTACATGGATACCGAGTTTGTGCAATTGTTTGTCTTGTTATTTTGGCTTTGTGTAGCGGCGATTTTTGGCGCAAAAATCACCGCTTCGCAAGGCAAAATAACGAGTCAAAGAATTGCCCAAAATCGGTATACATGCCAAAAATCGCCAAGTTTCGCCAAGGGGTACCCTAAACTATACTTTTACCTTTCAATGATATCCTGGAACTTGAATTATCGTAGGGTACATAGTAATTTGTCAACAGCATTGGTTATTTCATAAATGGAAATGAGAATATTAATTTTTCTATTCTCACTTTGGATATTCTAAATTGCACTAATGTATACAGCACTGAATTATGTCAATTTTAAGGTAAATTTGAGGAACATCATTTCTTATAAGTTTCCAAACATCTTTTCAGAAATGGGCTTTCTTACAAAATTCAGATAATGAAGATATATTTAGCGATCATCAGTCTGAATCCGAAAAAGAGTGCGACTCTTTATTAGACATTCCTTGTGATCAAACTGACTATTTTGTACGAAAAGATAAAACAACAAAATGGAAAAAAGAACCCTTTCGAATTCAAAGACGCATGGCAATATTCTCATTTCCATAATATCATAGAAAAATTGCCTGGCAATGCACATATATCTAAAGATGTGGCTTCACCCATCAATGCATGGAAGCTAATATTTAATGACACAATGACTGAAATGATTGTGAGATGCTCTAACATTTATGTAAAAAATATTTTGGAAAATTCTAAAAGAGACACAAAACCTATGTAGAAAGAATAGCTTCTTGCTTTTCTAGGACTCTTATACATAGCTGGATTGCACAATTGCTCCCACGTACATGTTAGAGAATTATGGGCGACTGATAGAACAGGATTGGATATGTTTCGTAAAAAAAATGAACTATAAGCGGTTTCTTTTCATTCTTCATGCCTTACGATTCGAAGATGTCAGAAAAATGGGATGGCAGAAGAAAGAGTAATAAATTAGCTCCAATAAGAGATCTGTTTGAAAATTTTGTCAAGAACTGTCAGAAATTATATCATGTAGGGAAATACGCGACTTTGGACAAAAAGCTAGAACCTTATCGAGGACAATGCTCCTTTCGGCAATATATGCCTAAGAAACCTGCAAGATGTGGTATAAAGATATTTATGGTGGTTGATTTTAGAACCTTCTATACCAGGAGTGGCCAAGCTCCTTGATAGTCCGAGCCATTTTTCAAAATTTGAAATTTTTCGCGAGCCACAATTAAATACGTATTTAAAAGGTATGCAAAAAAGGTATTAAAAATTTTTTTTACGGAAATAATATTGGTAATCTTTGGAATATGGTAACAGGTAGTTTGGCGACATTTTGGTAAGGCGATAAAGGTTACTAGCTAGGAATTTAGCAGTGTACATGGATAAAGTCAAGAGTGTGCGCAATGCCATTTTTGTGCAATTCTGGGATTTTTTTTTAAGTGAAAATAGGTCGACATGTACATGGATACCATGTATGTGCAATTCTTAAAAATGCGGCAAGCAGTTTGCGATTCTGCACTTTCTCCCAATTTTGCACCTAATCTTCGTCATGATTAAGCACTTTTGTACCATAAAAGTTCTAGCATAAGCGTAATTCGGCTAGCAGATTGTTGGAAAAAAAAATGTTGATTAAAAAAAAAAAAGTGCCTTTACTTCGTGAAAACAAAATGGCGTCCAAACAAAAACTAGCAGGTTGCTGTAGCAGGGTTGGTCGCCAAATTTTCGCCAAAAAATCGCCAAGTTACCATAATCCAAAGATTAACCATTATATTTATTGAAAACATATAAATAAAAGTGCAAAATATATGTATTGAATTTAAATATTAAAAATTAAACACATATATTTTACTTTTCTTGATAATTCTTTAAAACTTGGTGAAAAATTGAAGACAGCACTTCTCAATTCTTTGAGATGCTGGTTAGTTAATACAGTCAAAAGTCGTTAATTCGGACACCCATAATCCGGAATGATCTATTATATGGACCTCAAAGCTACAAACTTTCTGCATATGCGTCGCATTCACGTTTGCGCACAGGCATTTACGAGTGTGCGTAGGACCTTTACGGCTGCGAATATGCGTGTGCGCATTTTATGTGTAACGGACGGTATAAGTTAAGCTAAAATTATCTAATTCAGTTAATGTTGCAGATTGCGTTGTTCCTTAATCTTCGAATTGGATCCGGCTTATTATTTTTTGCAGAGTGTTAAGAGCAATTTTATAAAAGTAAGCTTGAACTTTCGATTATGTCAAATAGAATTTCCGATATATTATTTACTAATATGTAAAGGATCTACAAAGCGAAAGTATGTTTCGAAAACTGAAATCTGTTTATCAATTTCATGCCGTGGTGCGCAATGAATTGGAAGTTGATCTGTCAGCACTATCCTTATCTTCAGGGCAGATGTTTTTATTTTATTTGGCTTATAATTCCTTACTAAATGTAGTATTTCATCTTGATGTAATCTGTCTTTGATATGATTTAAATCAAGTTCCTCGTCATTATAATTCACTTCCGATAGTGAAGAAAGTGACACAGAGGTTATTGAAAACGAAAAAATTTCGATTGACAAATTAGCCCGTATTCTCAACACAGCAATTATAGGACTTGAACAGCAGAACTTTGAAACTAAACAAGAATTTATGTCTGTTTAATAGAATTAAAGAGAAAATATTATCACATGAAACGAAGCAACTTAAACAACTTACATTGACAGAAATGTTTAATAAAGTAAACAAATAAATATTAAGCTTTTTTTTTGTAAAATTTGATACCCTTTAGATCATAATTGTTCTTTATTTCTTAAATTACAGTTTCATATTTTTAATTTTAGAATTTCTGCATGCCATCTTACCAGATTTAAATTGATGATCTATAATCTGGAAAAATCGATAATCCGGAATTGCCGAAGTCCCGACGAGTCCGGATTAACGACTTTTGACTGTACTGATCGGTGTTTGGATTTCACAAATTTTAAAGTGGAATAAAATGATTCACATAAGTATGTTGCTCCAAATATTGAAATAATTCGACAAGTAGCCTTTTTAATTCAGGATACTTGATTCTGGTACAAATTTCCAAAATTCAGTAATCAGCATCAATTTGTATTTTAATTGTAGAGCTTGATCTTCTTGAATCTCTATTAATTCTAATTCTCCAGATGCTTTTTGGGTCATAATTATATTGGAAATGGAAAACTCACCTTGAATTATGTTAATTTCAAATGGAATCAAAAAAAATGAAGAGATGATGGATGGAAATGATGTTGCCCTTAGTCTTTCATATTTATTGTCTGTGATTTAAAAGACATTTTGAAACATATACAGAACGATAATAATTTAAAAAAATCTAATAACACAAAAATTAAAAGGGAACAAGGGTACATTTATCGAGAGCCACAAATAATCCTTTAAAGAGCCGCATGTGGCTCGGGAGGCACAGGTTGACCACCCGTTCTATACTTTCAACATGGAAATTTACTCAGGTCAACAGCCAGATGGGCCATACAAGAAAGTCAACAGTTCTTGTGAAAAAGCAAAGCACATTCTAGCTCCATTATACAATTCCGGAAGAAACGTTACCACAGATAGTTGGTACATGGGAATAAATAACAGGAATCTCAGCGATGAGTAAAATGCGTACATGACTTTGTAAAAACAGAAGGCGAAATATTCTCTTTTGCAGTCGCGCAGAGATGATATTCTTATCTTGCATGCGTAAAAAGGAGAACTCAAAGTGCCGA